TTGCCGGGGCCAAAAACGTAGTCGTAGCCAAACGTGGTAACCAGAAGTGCCGGAGGAGGTCATCGTAGTGCTGACACGTGCCCAATGCTCACATCCAAATCCCAGCCGTACTCGGGCGAGGCTTCCAAAGTTAAGCTTCTACTCCATGAATGCTAGAACAGGTTCGAGGATGTACATCTCGGTGGCGTATCAATGAAGATCCCACAAGGAAATGTGAACTGACGTGAAGTCAAAGTAGCACCATGGGAGTTACGCTCATGGAGTCAAGAGTCTAACTGCTGAAGATTCTCAAAACAGGTGTGAAGTGCAGCAGCACGGGCGATATTAGTTTCACCTCAAATGTACACGTTAAAACTGTATGACGCGTCACCCCAAATAAAGCACAGAGTAAGTGGTAATGAGGCTATGACCCGAAAAGCTTTAACTATTCAAAATTATCGAAAAACTAATCTTAGTTTTTTGTTTAGATTCATGTACAGGTGGCTTCTGGGCAAAATTCCAGTACAGTTCTGATAAATGAGTTGGAATTTACTATACTTCTTGTAGTACCAAACCATACATCCATCTCACCAGCAGGGTGGAATTTGGGAGGGGTGAACATGTGCACATATCATATTGGAGCAAAAACATGTACCTAATTTAATTTTACATTATATATCAGAAATTTTTTGAAACTGATCATGTTTCTAGGCTAGGTCAATCTTGAATATATGAGCTCACGTTCCCATAATTCCACCCTGCTGATACACATATTATTAACCAGTAGTACCATATATAGTAGTATCATTCAAGATAAAATATTTAGGCACTTTCAAAAACCAACACAAGTTGCCATTGTACTTAATTAAGTCACCACTTTCCAATAAAAACAATATGTATAATAAACTGAAGTAATTTCTGATTTAACTTCTATCATTACCTCAAACACAATAATTTTAAAATAACAATTTCTGACAAGTAAAGCGTTTACCTGTTAAACTGTTTATGTCAAGCATTTAGTGCATTGGCAACTCAAGTCTCACTAATATTAGAAGATTTAATAGCAATATGTGCCTAATATAATAAGTAGCTATACAGTCATAACACAAGTACAAAACATAATTTCATTTCATAACAATTCACAACATTATTTATGAATTGTGCTTGTCTGCCTGAATTATATGGTTATACCATTACTATAAATAAAATTGGGGACTGATCTGCAGCAGATATTTTCCAAAACCAAGAATCATCAGGGTAAGTAAGACAGATTTGTTGTTTTTTTGCAACATCAAGCTGATCAGATCATCAGGGTAGAACAACTTTGCACATTGAAACTTACAGGTAGAACTGTGGAATTGTTTAAATTATCCCGTCCCAATAATGGTTCACATATTCAATGTAAATCCAACTGATTCACTTGCTGGGTCCAAGAATATCAGCCTCTTGTTTGTTCAAAACTTCAAATATTACCCCACAGTTTCACTCAATAGGCCTCTGAGACAGTAAAACCCACAACATCCTGTTAAGCAGAGTATAACTCATAAGCAAAAATTCCTAATTATTTTCTAGCCTCAGCCCTCAGTCACACTAAACGAAACTCTGATTCACTGTAAAAATGTAATGCTTTTGCCCGTTTTGATTTATATTTTTAGGAATCATAAATAATGCAAAAACACTGACATCATAGCGACAAAGCCGGTGATGGTGTCATGGCCGCCAGGCCGCAACGCCTTTTTGACGTGAGGACTGATGAATGCAATATAATAAGTTCATTCTATTACCTAATCTATTTCATTCAGTGTATACGCTAAATTACGACTAAAAATGCACTGCATACGAAATTATATTCTCCGAGCAGGCGTACAGTTATGCACAAATTTTTGTACGTAGCTTCCCGCGCAAATGTTTCGATAATAACACTCAGGAGAGTCACGTCTACTTAGCTGTACTTACGCTAAACGTTAGCGGCTACGTATACTTAGCATGTTTTGATAATCCGGCCCCAGGTCTAGCAGGTTGACCTGTGCGGTGCACGGGATCGCCATTACTAATCCTGAGTAGTCAAATAATGGTGATACCACACAATTAACAAATGGAACGGGTACAAAAGTCGCGAAAGACACTAAAAAATTGTCCTGACCCCACATTGCAACTTTTTACGCAGTATAAACTTAATTTTGACCAAATTTAAACAGGTAAGACAAAGAAATATGCACACACCACACGCGCATTTCCACACGAACTTGAAACAGCTACCGACTACCCCGCCTATCCGATGAGCACGAGTCAAAACAGAAGCTCATTAAGTGCGTTTAGTCAAAAGAAGATCCACTGTAGTTTTATTTATATCAAATTTGTAACGGTTACACACCTAATTGGAATGTAAAACGTTACATACACAGATTTGAGAGAAGATATGAAAATATCATTCTATTGCTGGTAATAATTGTCGATGTGAAGCTATGAGATAACTCCTGAAGAAACAACTGATTAGGTTGTGAATTCAACGGGACAAATCTATTAATATATATAAACATCTAGGTATTAAAGTGCTTCTGCTGCGATATTTTGTCTCTGATCCATGACCAAGCCATCATTTGGTGAATGATGCAATACACCAATTAATGATGAAGATCGTGAAGGTCGAATAGCTTTCAGGATAAATGACAATAACTTAGATGGTAACGGATCGATAAAAACGCAAATACAGAGTTCGAATAATTTAATTATTTTGATCAGTTGCTTATTTTTCGCTTTTTAAATATAATTCAATGTATTAGGATGATACGTTACCTCAAGTAATCTGCGTTAATTGCGGGCCAAATTGTGAGCTCAACTTGTAGTCTACACATGCATGTCTACCTCCAATTTCACACAACCACTAAGAAGTATCAAATCATAGTTATCTATTTCCCGAATATAAAAACCTAGATTACATAATACTTTGAATGACATATAATCGTTCCACAAATGTAATGTGATATGAGAATTTATGATTCTACTAACCATTAATGAATATTTATAATATTACTCTGCGTATCTATCACAATTTTTGACCGACCTAATAGGGGCATACTTATAGGGGTCTGGTCGGGTAGTGTTGGCGTAATTACACTACGAGTTGACAGAATTGAATAAAATATTCACAATAAAACGGACACAATCAGTTTTTCTTCTAATGTATCCTGATGGTTTCTTTGTTCGAGTTAACTAACGGTTATAACTTTGTTTCGTTACCCTGGAAGAGAAAACTTAGAAGATTCAATATCAGGAAGGTAAAGTTAAATTTTGTATGTCGAATAAGGTTGAGATAATTATGTTATCAATTAGATTTTGGCCATCTTAGAAATGCAGTGGATGCCATAATTGACGCTCAAACAACAATATTAGTTATAGTTAGTGAAACAAAGTTACTGAATACTTCACGAAACTACCATTTGATGACTTATTCGTGATTTATATTTTATTTCAAATAAAATAATTTAACTAAGAACAGAACTCACGGCATTAAATTTTATTGGTGGTTTTTCAAAACGTATTGAGAATGGCCACTCGTAGTAAATCTACAATGCATCATCAATGAATAGGAACCTTCAAATCATTGATGAAACATCAATAAACTTCACCTGCAGTCACGCATCTTCTCGATTTATTGGTGTTTTACTATCGTGTGATGGCTGAAGTGGCCACACATCAGTACGCCACCAATAATCCACCTGGCCCACCTAATAATCATAGGTGCTCCACTCATAATTTTTATTTGGGATATTCTCGCACACATGGGCTCGCGTCACACATGGTATGTATTCAAATTAAAAAAAATTCATATCGGAGCATATATAGTGTAGTTGTTCCCGCGAGTGTAATTAAAGGGAACGTTATTTATTGTACACCGCCATATTCTGTCCCTGCATCTGAAACGAGGTCTAAATATTTAAAAAATTTATCCTATGAAATACCTTGCGAAAATCAATTTTCGTGTATTGTTGGTAAATAATTTCAAGATCTTCAGGTATAAATTTCAGGTATAAATTTCTTCAGGTATAAAGATACTCCTCCTGACTTGATGCGATCTTCTCTAGTTTATAAATGCTGACGTATATACGCAATGCGGATCAGTGAATGTTGGTATGACGTCACGCAACATTTACTCTAGACTGGCGGAGCATCAAGGGAAGAGTTTGCGAGCATGATACCTGCACCTTCCTTTCATTCAGCTGTACGAGATAATGCGGGCAGTGCAAAGTCCCAGCATTCGAAAGTGAGTCCACAATTTTAGTTTCCATAACCGGTGTCTGACTTATGAAATTTAGAATCCTTATTTTCAAACAGTTGCCTAGTTAAATTGCCGCGTTCAGTTCTAATACAATCATACTTGTAAATAGGATTTGTCTTTTAATTGTAAATTTTAGTTTAAAGCCTGCAATGTGAATACTGGTTACTTGCATTCAATGATTGTCGATCTGATGACAGAGCTAGACTCCGGAACATTTTATTTTATAGAATATGGTGAATATTTGTGGCATTTTAATTGCTTTTTAACTTCATGGATAAATTACGTGTTTAGCCGTTTCTACTTTGATTCACGGTATAACTTCAATCATTAACAATCTTCTGTTACGCTGCCGATACGTCCACCCTCGACTGGGCGTGAACGGCAGCGACTGGGTTCAGCGACTGGGGGGTCATGCGACCGGGTTCAAATGTTGCGCGGCTTCCATCTAAACATCGAATATTGGCCTTTTTGACAGAATAATAGAATATCTTTCGTTCAATTTGATAGCTGGCTTCTGCACTATGAGAAGAACTTACTATCACGTACCAACAAATATCGACCCCTATAAAACGTTTTCCACAAAAATATAACATGAAATTTGAATGCAAATAATCAAGACAGGACAGTAAAATATATGTGCATTCATATCATTTATTGTATTGTTACATTATATATGTAGATTATATCCAAGAAACTGCGCGTGGCGGTAAAAGTCGTGAATAATGTATTCAAACTAATAAATGTACATTTATGTGGTCATAGCAAATGCATCCTACAATCCTTTTCCTGGATCTTTATTTTATGGGGAAGAGATAGTGAAACTCGATTGTAAAAAATCCGTCAATCAAAGATTGAAACACAGCCACGAACATTTTCCAAGAAATTCCGAACTCAAAATTGCAACATTACAATATACTCGTCAGCAATCCATCTAAGCGGAAATGAGTAAGTTATAGAAGAAGAAACGTATTCTGATGCTCAGCTCGTCTTCTTCTGGCTCATTTCAATGTTCTTTCCTGACATCACTCGCCGTATGTATTCTGCATGAGACAGAAGATGAATCGGCTGACCTGGAACATGAAACATGAGGCATCAGCGATGAACATTTACGGAAATTCTGTGATCTCTGTTTGCTGCAGAAGTATGACGTACATCGTTGAATTTCTATGAAAAAGGTTTTCTCTTTCATTGTTCGAACTATACGCAACCGTTGCCAATTTTTCCTTGTTACTTTAAAATTTGAACAATACATTTGGAAAATGTTGCATTTAATTCTAAATCAAATAGACAAGCATACACTTAAACTTACGTGCAAATATTTCATGGTGGAGTTCTTGCACGGCGGGTACGCAGCTATAAACTTGGCGTCAGTGCTGCATTTGTTCTTCAACGTGGTGGCTTTGAAGGCTGCTTCGTCAAAGGTGTTGTTGACCTTCAGCTGAAGAACGGGAGGTGGAGATATTGAGGCTATATGGTAACTAGAGTTCGGATTTATACAAATTTTCTTGCTCGCTGAAAAAAAAATTCTTTAGCATTAAATGAGATCGGAACGGGTATTGCAAGCTGATCTTGTCTCACGTTTCGTGCGAGCTGTTGCGTAGAAATGTAAGATCGTCGTTGAAGATGATGCATGGAGAAATTTTTTAATATGGAAACAACGCCGAATTTAAAATGTCTTCCCGCTGTCTTGACCCACTTGCCAGGTCTGCGTGCCCCACCAGCGTGGGTCACGGCGTCACGCCCAATAGTTTGTGAGTTTGTGACTGACATTAACCCCGAAAAAATCGGCCCTAGACCAGATATAAACCCTGCTGAGCGTGTGTGTTGCGAGTATGATATCAGAATTTTTGAGCTGCAATGCCCAGTCAGTAACTCGGCGCCCAATGTACAGTCACACTCACAAGTCCTGCACTCGATGCTCAACGTACAGTCACACACACAAGTCCTACGCTCGATGCTCAACGTACAGTCACACACACAAGTTGTGGAGCTCAAAATATTCAAAGCAGAAGGATGTCAATGATCGGTTACGGATAGCAGATTCCATTCACGGCTGATTGTTGGATGTCCGGAAAGATCCAAGGCGTTCGATTCTGGGCTTATTGGTGTACAAAATTTGTGGTGCACGGCTGCGTTCCCTTATGCTTTACTCACAAGTTTGGCTGCTTTGAGTGTGCACTTCATGTAGTTGGCAACAATTTGATCGCATGTAGTCGCGTCGTACGATGTAGCGTAGATATTGCAGTTCGGGTCTGGGGGAGAAACGAAGCAGTCGATTATATTGTGTTGGTCGCATCCCATTACGAAACAGCGTATAGGAGTGATACAATGCAGGGATTCTATTGGTTAGTTAACGTTCGGTAACTCAACCATAAGAATTGAAAAATCCATACGCATTCATGAAAGAAAAGTTCTTAAACTGCGCTTGTCAATGAGCAAAATTCAGGTTTAATTCGTACACTAAAGTATCTACACATTGAAATCTAAATATTTTAGTGCTTGATGAGATGTTTTAACAATGAAGATGGATTCTAGTGGGAGTAAAATAGTTCGTAATAATTATTTTAACACTTACTATTATCAAATTTCACAACATCCGCAGTGTACTGTGGATAGCAAACAGACCAAGCCGTTCTTGTCATAGCATTGGCGGCATCATTAATCTGAAATTAATCCAAAAATTAAATAAGTATGCCACTCACATAATCAATTATATACTATTATTTACACAGTTATGTTTCCTGCTTCATCAAGTTCGAAATAAGAAGTGTTACTGAAAAATTATATTAAAAGCGAATCGTTTCAATTTACTGGGGTAGTTGCGCAACATCAATAATCAAATTAGGTTTTTACTTACGACGGGAATAAAATTGATTTGGCTAAGAAAAAATCGTACCGGGAAGAAAGCTTCTGATTTTGTGTGGGAAATTTCCCACCGTTCATTATATTTCTATTCTTTAAACTGAATTTAGTTATAATTTACGTTTGGGTAATATTAAGATTAGTCTAGGGTAAGTTTAATGTTAGGGTAATTTAGGCCAGACCCGGGTTTCCGGAATCAGTTTTAGTACGCACTGATACACCACAGTAGAAAGACTTAAGTTTGTGATCTCCAGCCAACCTGATCTTCGCCGCCGCTACACCCAGTCAAAAATCAAAGGCGTGTCGCCGGCGTTTTTAAGTAGACTATGGTAGAGTCGCTCGGCTGGGGCGCCCGAGTAACATCTCCGCATCATCGACGAAATGTCCATTTTTTTAAGCGCGACGGATCGAACTTAAACGGCATATGGCCGCGGCGCGTCTCATAGACTGACCGCGCGCGGCAGCGCCTCCATCATCGGCGTAACTGTCATGAAACTCCGGCGCAACTTACATGGCCGCCTGTAATTATTTATTTAAAAAAAAAACCTCGGCGGTATATCGCCGAGATCATTGCCTCTGCACTCCCATACTGGATATGCATACACATTCATGTGAACGTGCATGCATTTCCAGCATGACAGTACAAGCAAAGAATCTCGGGAATAT